GACAGATTGCACATTCTAGCAATGGGTAGCAGTAATTCTAGAAAGAGAACAACTGTGAATGCCAAACCGTGGAGAATTCAACAGAAACCACTCCACTAGAATTCCTTAAAATAGATTGCATTTCGTAGATAATAAAAGAAAAGTAATGCTCTTTGACAGCAGCTAAACCATTTCTTCTGTACATTATTAAAATTATTAGGTTGGTGCGAAAATAATGACGTAATAATGTCGTTTTGTGACTTTAAAAAATAAGTTAAAAAACGACATTATTACGTCATTATTTTTGCACCAACCTAATACAAGATAGACTGGATGTCTAAACCCGGTTGTCGTCCAGCCTATTATAGAGAAACCTCTGGATTCAAAATCATGGAGAAATCAAGGGGAAACCGCTAGGCTATATTCCCTATGAATATATCGCAATTCACAGATAATAAAAAGGGAAGCTATGGAAAACCACGCTCGCTGACGTACTAAAGGAACATGGCATTCAAAAATAGGACACATACACAAATATACAACCGGGCATACAGACACACATATTTATCGGTGTGATTTTATTTGTATTTTATTATCATTTTTATTAAATAATTTTATGGTTTTCATATTAATACTAAACTAATAATAAGGTTTTCATATTAATATTAAACTAATAATATGGTTTTCATATTAATACTAAACTAATAATATGGTTTTCATATTAATACTAAACTAATAATATGGTTTTCATATTAATACTAAACTAATAATATGGTTTTCATATTAATATTAAAAATAATATTAAGGTTTTCATATTAATATTAATCTAATATTATGGTTTTTATATTGATATTAAACTAATATTAATATGAATAATAAAATTATATCATGGTTTTCATATTAATAAGAATATTTAACTAATATTACGTTTTCATATTGATATTAACATTAATGTAATATAGTTTTCTTATTAATATTAATATTAATATGAATATCATGGTTTTCAGTAGTCGTAATTATTTTATTCATAGCGCCGAATTTGGTAATCTCTCTGGAAAGCAAAAACTATGAATATCTTTCTTTACGTCTTAAAGAGTGGACCAGATCAGCTGCTTTTCCATTGTTGATCAGCGGATACATAAAGAAGATTTGGATGGCCGAACATTGTTGGATATATACAGGCTTAATAAACAAAGAAAGAGCAGATTTCGAAAAAAAATATTTCAGTGAAACCAAGTAGCGTCTCTGATAAGTCCTTTGTCTTTCCATCCGATCAAAACGGAATAGTCCATGGATATTGGCAGGGTGTAAGGGTCGTGCGAACTAACGAAGGGACGAACAAGTACAATTATTATATGATAATAATAATTATTATTATCATATAATAATTGTGATTTTTTATTATATAATAATAATAATAATAGTTGTTGTTGTTGTTGTTATTATTATTATTATTATTTCTTTTTCCCTTCTGTTCAGCATATTCTCTACCTGGGTCATTCTCTAAGACCTAAAATGAGAGAGGTAAAAAAATACGTTATATACTCGCGTATAGTGCGAGATTTCATGATCAGTTCTTTTCATGAAAAAAACAAAACAAAAAAAACTAGAGTCACACTATACACAGGTTATGCTTTGACGAGATTATAAATCATGCATTGTCAGTGACCGGTTGCACTATAGACAGGTAAATATTTTCTGAAAGGGTGGAAATTCATGAATTTTCGGTGACCATCTACCTGGTAAGCTTACTTTCTCAAAGTACCTTTAGCTAATCATAACCGTATGGTTAAGCCGCTTTAGCCCCCCCCCCGTAGACTAGATTCTTTCTTTCTCTTGCTACATGAACAGCAGAATGTCGTTCACCATGGCTGTCGCTGAAAATCTATGAACATTTTATATAAATGAAAAAAAACAGCAATGTTTTTTTCATTTGTCCAAATTGCGTTCATTTTCGTTCTCACGCTGGGGTATTTCTTTTCAACGCACACACACACACACACACACACACACACACACACACACACACACACACACACACACACACACATATATATATATATATATATATATATATATATATATATATATATATATATATATATATATATATATAGTACAAGTATTCGATCAGTTGGTATATAATCTGGGTAGATCCTAGTAATATTAATTATTAAAACTGACTCACAGGGAGGTCGATGGTTTTTAACAGAGCATGTATTATTTTACAGCAAAAAAAACAAAAAAACAACCGTTACTTCAACATAGATATAGTATATAGTATATAGTATATATATATATATATATATATATATACCCAAGTATATAATTAATTATGGCTATTTTGTAGTGATTTTATAACATATTTATGTTATAATTTTTTAAAAATAAATATAATATATATATATATATATATATATATATATATATATATATATATATATATATATATATATAGAGAGAGAGAGGGGAGAGGGGACGTGAGAGAGTGTTTAGAACGTTCGTATTCTGACCATGAGACCAGGGTTCGAATCTCACCATGGTCGATTTGTCAGAAAGGAGATTCCTGATGTTCTAGGGCTGGACAGGTTGATCCCAGAGTGCGGCACCTTTTGAAAAACATAGCATGGGTTGACTCAAGACTTGTGAGTAAAATTGGGTAGACAGAAATCTTGGGGGTCGTCGATAGCTGTGCTAGCCCGAAGCCACAAGTCAACGTGACTGAGGACCTGAGGGTGCTGGCCTTGTTCACATTGCTAATCACGCTAGATAACAGGCTCATTCCCAGAAACTGGCTAAGCCTGCTCAACATAGTTACAGTATAAACCAGAGAGCAAGCGTCTGCGATAGGGATTGGCTAGCCGGTCTAGTAGACGAGTGTCCTCGATTACGAGTGGCTATTATATATATATATATATATATATATATATATATATATATATATATATATATATATATATATATAGTTTATGCAAAACTAGGTAATCCGTATGGGTAGACCCAAGGAGGATGATATCCGGAGAGCTCAATGTAAATTCAGAGCAAATATGTTTGAATAAAAAACAGACCACCTTAAGGTTCCATGGAAGTCTGATGATCCAGAGCCCTTTTAAAAGGGCTGTGGTGATATAATTTATTACATGGAACCTTAAAGTGGTAATATTTAATATTACAATTCTCCGTTACATTTTTTAAAAATATTTTGACAAGCTGCACCACAATATATATTAAATGATGATTGAACAGGATGAAATACTAAATTAATTTCAGTTCTAATATTTTCTCACCATTTGGGGGTAGCTTTGTACCAAAAAGAATGCAGGCCATTTATTTGCTATACAATATGTCCAGATTGATGCCCAGTACTGCGATCTTTGTCTACTTCAGACCTATTTACTAGTATTGCCCAGAAGCCAGGGTTACATTATACACAAGCTAAATGAAAAAAAAAATCTGGTTTTTCACAAAAAGATTATAGGTCACATTACGCGTGAAGTAGGCTTATATATGTGAGCATATATTCCCCTCGGGATTAACAGATTGGACTATAAGTAGATAATTAGGTGACATTTTAAAGTCTACTCTGATTAAATTTTAAATTGACTTTCTTAGAATCAAAATTAACATAGCTTATTTCAAAAGTAGTTTTTTCTTTTGTTTTTTAAAGTGGTATCTAAATTAGACGTTTTACGGTTAATGGTTTTTCTCACCATTTTCAGGTAGCTTTGTACAAAAAAAAGAAAAAAAAAAAAAAAGAATGAAGACCATTTATTTGCTATAAATTATGCCCAGTATGATACCCAGTATTGCAGTATTTGACAACGGTAGACCTACTACCCTAGTTAAATTAAAAGCTGGGGTCATATTTTCGACCTCCATGGAAAAAAAGAAGGTATTTCAAATAAGAATTCAGGGATTCGAACTATACATGAAAAGTCTATATATATATATATATATATATATATATATATATATATATATATATATATATACATATATATATATGTACTATATATATGTACTATATATATATATATATATATATATATATATATATATATATATATATATATATATATATATATATATATATATATATATATATATATATATACCAGCAAGCAGAAATATTTCTCCTCCCGATGATGGCCATTTTGGTCGAAACTAGTTGAGGAATCTAAATGAAATAATAATAATAAAAAACGAAAGAATATTAATCTACAACCCAGTGTGTCTAAAATTTTAATTTTTAATTTTTAATTTTTTATTTTCAATATATATATATATATATATATATATATATATATATATATATATATATATATATATAAGAACATATATACGTATTTATACATAAGTATATATGTACCATATATATGTACTTATATATATATATATATATATATATATATATATATATATATATATATATATATATATATATGTATATGGTATATATTTTCATTTTTTGCATAAATTCTGCTGTTAATTAATCCATTGATTCCTTTTTTTACGGCTTATCAATCCTTATTTAAAGCCAGAATATATTTTTCGATTGTAAGAATCTTTTTGGAGCTAATAATGATTCAGTGTTACATGTCTAACTGATAAGCCAATAGCTAGGGGTAGAAAAAGTGGATTCTGACCGTTTCCTCAAGAGTATTTGTGCATAAGCGAATATAGAGATTTACTGATACATATGAATACATGTATATGTGTATACATTTGAATATATTATCAATTATATGTGTATGCATAAATACATTATCAATTATATGTATATACATGTGAATACATGCATACATGTGAATACATGGGAATACATGTGACTTAAGTGATACATAGTGAAAAGAATATATAGATTTAGTGATACATGTCTAACTAAAAAAAAATGGATTCAGACCTTTTTCCTCAAAGGTATTTTTGCGTAAGCGAATACAAAGAACACCACTGGAATCGGAACTCGACTCACCGATTTACAATTCCTAGCCGTTATCTATTACACCATCCGCATCTCTAAGCTTACAGTATCTGCTATTCCCAAGCGGTCACCCATCTAGGTACTGACCAGGCCCATCGTTGCTTAACTTTAGTGATCGTACGAAGACTGGCCTACTGATGCTAAGTGATATTTAATAGGAATATTGTTTAAATTTACCGTGATAATAGAACGGAAAAACAATTCGAGACAATACAATTTATTTGAATATGGCGATTGACAGGTATTTTATTAATGTTCTTTCAGTAATTTTTCAAATCGTCTTTATCCCGACCAGTTATCTCGAACTCATTCACTTTCTCACCGACGAGACGTCCCCCCCCTATGCCTTTTCTACAAATATTTCCATGGCAACTGTTCTGACGAGTTTTTTTTCACCTTCGTGCCCGAATACATGAAGTTAAGCCTGTTACTATTAAAATAGCTAAATGCAACTGCCACTTCTACCCCAGAAGTTTATTTTCTCGCACTTCCTACCTGTGAAACTCCCTTCCGTTTACTTGCTTCCCTGATAACTGCAATCTTCAAAAATTTAAATTCCGCATCAATCACCATCTTCTGTCTTCTTGAATCCCGTTCATCTTTTATCCTTTCCTCAACCTCCCCCACCCTTATAGTCAATCTTCTTTTCATTCCCTGTAACCCAGCCCCCACTGCGTACTAGTAGCATTCCAAACTGACTTGAGGTGAAAGCATTAAAAAAAACCCGAAAAGGTCACCAATTATTGCAGGCGTAACAATAGTTTTAAGTTGACACATTTTTTTTTTAGTTTCAAGAAAATATTTGCTTGTTTTAACAGATGTATTTTAAACTGATGCCACGAGCATATCGATGGTAGAGCCATCAATTTATTATTATTATTATTATTATTATTAATCATTTCACCCCAAGCAAGGCGATAATGCCGTAAACACGCAAGAGGATACTGGGAATAAAAGAATTAGCGAGAAGAAAGGACAATAAAAGAATAGGAGTCCAGGAAGAAACAAGATGGCGATTTGGGTTGCATTTAAATTTTTACAGAAACGTAGGTGGCAAAGAAGAAAGAAAACGGAAGAAAGCTCCATAGTCCAGGAGTGCGAAAAAAGAAACTATTAAAATAGTAACAGCGGTTGCATTTAGCTATTTCAATAGTAAAACGGTGGGACCTAATTGCCAAACTAGTAGTACGCTTAAATTCATGCGATCAAAGTACCAAGGAGGAGAATGCATTAGAACAACTGACATGAAAATAAGAATTGAAAAGACGAAGGAAAGCTACGTCACGATGGTGGAAAAATGACTGAAGCCGAGATGCCAGGTTAGGATCGATAACATTACAGATCTTTCTTATTATACAACAGTTTATTATGATTTTAAATGGTTACCACTTTAAGCAGCAAGAACAATAATAAATATACGAACTTTATATATATCGGAAAGAATTTTTACTTAAATAAACGTTCTTTCCGTGTAACAGCTAAATGCATTCACCGATTCAAATATCTAACACACACACACAAACACACACACACACAAAATACATATATATATATATATATATATATATATATATATATATATATATATATATACTAGCATAGTCATATACAAACGTATTATAAACATTCACAGAAACACGGAATTTATATATATATATATAGTCGTATATATATATATATATATATATATATGTATATATATATATATATATATATATATATATATATGTATATATATATATATATATATATATATATATATATATATATATATATATATATATATATATATATATATATATATATATATATATATATATATATATATATATATATATATGTATGTATATATATATATATATATATATATATATATATATATATATATATATATATATATATATATATATATATGAATGAAAGAATATGTAAGTTCGTGTGTCTGTGATTATGTCAGTATAGATGTGTGTGTGCGTGTGAGCACACGCGCGTGCAAAAATTTACCTTGCAGATTCGCCTTTTCCGATTGGTGTAAATGCGAACACTGACCCCACCCTACCGGCCGTACACCCTCGCCCAACCCACCTGCTCAGCTCTCTCTCTCTCTCTCTCTCTCTCTCTCTCTCTCCATCATGTCATCTCACTCTCTTCCTCCCAGCTCTCGTTTCCCTTCCCCCTTTTCTCCTCTCCGTTCATCGGAAATGCCTTTTACCGATTTTGCTTCTGCGCAGTGAAATTACCGAATCCACGTTCGCAGTTTGTTTACTCCGGTGAAAAATAGGCCTTTGCCTTCAAATAAATTGCACCACCAACGCCAACATTATTATTATTATTATTATTATTATTATTTATTGTAATTGTCTGTTATAAGAACGCAGAAGTTTTTCCTTGCTTTATATTATTCGCTACTTCAAATTCATTTTCTCTCAGTATTTGTATAATTCTTTGACATTATAAAAATGCTGATAACAGTACACCAATGTTTTCGAACCTTTTTTCAAAGAGCGCTCCCTTTGGGTAAACCTTTTTGTGAACACACATCAAATTAAATTCCAAATATTATACTGAATTCATCTTTCATAGCAAGATAATATTTAGATACTCGTGCAAAAATAATTTTAATAGTTTTCATTCCTATTATAAATGCCAATGATTAAAATGCCAAAAAAAACAAAACAAAACAAAAACTTATATTTGATAGTTTGTCTCAATGTTTTCAAAGCGATGGTTAGCTTTGGTGCTTACTGGCTAAGGTTCTTACTCTAGGTTCATTTCATAGCTTGTCTCAATATTTTCAAAGCGATGGTTGACTTTGGTGCGTACTGGCTAAGGCTCTTACTCTAGCTTTCATGTTGCTTAGAAGTAATCGGTCTCCATTTTTTTCAATTTGCAGGCGATTTCTTTGTTTCGTTAGAAGCTGTGTAACCGCGTTGAAACCACATTCAGCCATATAGGAAGTTAGAAAAGCAATGAAGAAAAGTTTGATAGCTTCCCACAGCTTTAGACGCCTTTCAGAAATTCCCTTTCCTAGCCAATACTGAATAATTATTGAAAATTTAAAAAAAAAATGGATAAGTGCCGACTATATTCACCGCCTCCAAATTAAATAAAAAAATCCCAGTGGGCCCTTTCAACCTAAAAGAACCAACAAGGAGGTGCTAGCTCCCACACTGCTATAGATCGTACGATGCCATGATTGTTCTTGGAATGATAGTGGTGTGTTTTCCCAGTTTTTTTTTAGTTTTTTTTATTTTTAAGCATTTCACCCCAAGCAAGGCGGGAAGCCACTAGGACGCAAGGGGTTACAGAAGATTTGGAGAAAGATCAGATAGGAGTGATAGAGGAAAGGATGAGGAGAAGGATAGTGGATAGATCAAGGCAATTGAAGATGTCGATTGACATTACATTTGAATAGCTGGAGATTATAGCTCTCAGGGAAACTGGAATAGGGAAGGGAGTTCCACAGGCGAGAGGTGCCAGACATGAAACTATTAGAGTAGAAGAGACGGCTACATTTAGGAGTTTCGACAGTGAAGGGGTGAGAGCGGGATGCCAGCCTCGTAGGGCGCTTGAACTCATGAAGTCTGGGAGCAATTGCCATGAAAGTATTTGTAGAACAGACAGAGAGAGGCGATGGCGCGTCTGTGAGAAAGTGACTGTAGACGAGATGCCAGAGCAGGGCCAATTATATTGCATATCCGCCTCTGGAGCCTATCAAGAACCCCGAGGCAAAAATAAGGGGCACCAGACTATATATGGCAGCAATACTCCATGAAAGGGCGAATTGTTGATTTGTAGATCTGGTGGATCGATTCTGGGAAGAAAAATTTCATGGCGCGGCTCAGGGAGCCAACTTTCCTTGGGGTGGACGAAGCAATTGACTCAATGTATTTGTTCCATCTCAGGTCAGCAGTCAATGAGAGACCGAGCAGTTGCTGTCTCTATGGTGATTTTATTGCTCTATTTAGCTTGCCTTTGACGCCATCCTTTGATAGTTCGTATTTTTCATCCTACGGGTTAAATAAAATCCCTCAATGTACCCAACAACATGGAGCAAAGTAGCCGGTTTAGTTATCAACAATCCGACAAAAGAGTTTTTTTTTTTTTTTTTTAAAGATTTTAATTGAGTTAAAATCCTGAATGATTTTTAAAAAATCTAAAACATCAAGCAAGACATATTAAAGGCAAGAGGGACAGAGGAAAGCAGCGAGTAACCTGTATAACGAGATTATGCAAATCGATGGTAAAACAGGGAGAGAGATTGTAAAAAGACAAATATTGCTAAAAAAACTACTATAGATAGGAAATTGTGGAGAGCCTTGAACATCTACGTGTTGAAGGAACACGACACACAGAAGCAAAGCAATATATATGCGACTTAACATCTCTTCAAGACAGCATCCAACTAAATCACTGCTCTATGGATCCATCCCTTATATTTCTTAGGCGAACGTAGAAAGTACTTTGCAGGACACTGCTGGCGACCAGAACTAAAACTCGCAAGGGATCTGCTACACTGAACACCTAGCCATGGAGCAAGACGAGTTGGTCGCCCAGCAACCACCTACATTTTTCAGTTATGTTATGGCACAATGCCACCCTTCCTTGATGCAAGACCGTGATGGTTGGCGTAATAGCCTCACACATTGTCCGAGCTAGCTCGACCGAAAAAAAAAGGATAATTCATAAACATGCTATTTTCAGATGCGACGAGGCTTTTGGAGCCGACTGATGCCTGAGGTCATTATTCGAACCCAACCTATCCTGGTTTTCCAGATGAAAAAAAAAAAGGTTTTTACATAATTTGAAAAATTGTTAGCAAAAATCGTATTACCTGTTTTGATTTTTGCCATACTGCGGTAACTACAAGAGATACTTGTAAAATTACAAGAGATAAAAATATTATATTGCATTTACATAGAAAGCAGAATCCAGGTATTTCCTGATGTCTGTAGTTAATACCGAAGTATCACAGGTATTTGTGACCGGTATCAGAGGTCGTTGTTTGAACCGGGATTGATAAATCTAATTTTCTATAAAGGTAAGGAAACAAACAAAAACGCCCCCCCCCAACCTGAACATATGCTGTTCACTTAAATGTCGTAAATATCAGGTGTGTGCTAAGTTTCC